ACTGTCCACTTAGGTAGCAACACTGACTGACAATCAATTTCACATGTGTTGTGCAAATGGAATAGACAACAGGTGGAAAGCCAGGGAAGGTAGCAAGACATCCCCAATAAAGGAGTGGTTCTGCAGATGGTGACCACAGACCACTTCTCAGTTCCTATGCTTTCTGGCTGATAGTTTGGTCACTTTTGAATGCTGGTGGTGCTGTCACTCTAGTGGTAGCATGAGACAGAGTCTACAACCCACACAAGTGGCTTAGGTAGTGCAGCTCATCCAGGATGGCACATCAATGCGAGCTCTGGCAAGAAGGTTTGCTGTGTCTGTCAGCGTAGTGTCCAAAGCATGGAGGTGCTACCAGGAGACAGGCCAGTACATCAGGAGACGTGGAGGAGGTCGTAGGAGGGCAACAACCCAGCATCAGGACCGCTACCTCCACTTTTGTGCAAGGAGGGACAGGAGGAACACTGCCAGAGTCCTGAAAAATGACCTCCAGCGGGCCACAAATGTGCATGTGGCTGCTCAAACAATCAGAAACAGACTCCATGAGGGTGGTATGAGGGCCTGACGTCCACAGGTGGGGGTTGAGCTCACAGCCCAACACTGTGCAGGACATTTAGCATTTGCCAGAGAACACCAAGATTGGCAAATTCACCACTGGTGCCCTGTGCTCTTCACAGATGAAAGCAGGTTCACACTGAGCACATGTGACAGATGTGACAAGGTCTGGAGATGCCATGGAGAACGTTCTGCTGCCTGCATCATCCTCCAGCATGACCGGTTTGGCAGTGGGTCAGTAATGGTGTGGGGTAGCATTTCTTTAGGAGGCCGCACAGCCCTCCATGCGCTCAGCAGAGGTAGCCTGACTGCCATTAGGTACCGAGATGAGATCCTCAGACCCCTTGTGAGATCATATGCTGGTGCGGTTGGCCCTGGGTTCTCCTAATGCAAGACAATGCTAGACTTCATGTAGCTGGAGTGTGTCAGCAGTTCCTGCAAGACGAAGGCATTGATGCTATGGACTGGCCCACCCGTTCCCCAGACCTGAATCCAATTGAGCACATCTGGGACATCATGTCTTGCTCCATCCACCAACACCACATTGCACCACAGACTGTCCAGGAGTTGGGGGATGCTTTAGTCCAGGTGTGGGAGGAGATCCCTCAGGAGACCATCGGCCACCTCATCAGGAGCATGCCCAGGTGTTGTAGGGAGGTCATACAGGCATGTGGAGGCCATACACACTACTAAGCCTCATTTTGACTTGTTTTAAGGACATTACATCAAAGTTGGATCAGCCTGTAATGTTTTTTTCCACTTTAATTTTGAGTGTAACTCCAAATCCAGACCTCCATGGGCTGCTAAATTTGATTTCCATTGATAATTTTTGTGTGATTTTGTTGTCAGCACATTCAGCTATGTAATGAACAAAGCATTTAATAAGAATATTTCATTCATTCAGATCTAGGATGTCTTATTTTTGTGTTCCCTTTATTTTTTTTGAGCAGTGTATTTCAAAACAATACTGGGAAAAACAATACTTTTGCAGCTTGCCTTGATTATGGATTTTGAGATCCGAAGGTTCTGATTCTCTTAGTTTTTTGGAAGTTAATTAAAATCTGCCTTTTTCTCCAGATATTAGTGCTAGGATGTTAAGAGTGTCAAATATAACTGTTTCAGTTTTGTGAAATCGATATAGTGTCTTGCTTTTTCTTTTTTGTACTGAATCATTTTTAATGTTAGTCAGGATTGTGAGATACACATTATCAGCATTAAAAATTATATGCGTGTGTATAAGCAAATAAATTGCTTATCACTCAGAGTAGATTGGTAGTGATATATATTTTCAATATATAAATGTTTTCATTTATTACTCACTTCATTCTTGTTTTCTTCTAAATATATTTAAGGGGCAGCTTTAATGGTGCTAATAATTTTAGATTTTGGAGGCCTCTTTATACAATACTTAAGAAGGATTCCAGAATGTAGTAGGAATCATTTCCCCAATCTAACAATTTCCAATTAGTCTTAAATTATAACTCTCAGAATATCCAATCAGCACAGCCAGGCCTCAGAAGTTTGTAACTGCAACATTTTTGGAAAAATTGGGTTGGACACATCCAATCTAAAAAGTAGATTTCCCTTCCCCATTATATAATTAAAACTGAAATCTAATATTACCATATATAAATATATCACTCGTTCTCTTGGACTACATAATTTTCTTTTCATTCTACATAAAGCAGCATTTACATACAGTACTATATATAGTCCTCACTAGATAAATACCCATCAGTTTTAACTCTTAAGGAGTTCATAAAATGCATGGAATTTAAAATGCATGGAATCCCTTTCTGGAAAATTAACAAGGAAGTTCGTGTTCATATGACTTAATGACATAATACCGAAAAATAAATGTAAAACAGTACAATTTGGGAAGTGGTCTATGTAGCATGAGATATTTGTGATGTAAAAGTACAACAAGGCTACAAATACGTCAAGCCTACATTTACTAATTGATATTTATAACTCAAAAGCACTTCCTTAAGGATCATACTGCTGATTAGTACAGTTGCTAGATTTATCAGCCTGTCGTTCATGAAATGGAAAGCGTTGATGAAAGCTGTAATATTTCAGACATCGAAAAAGAGAAGTTGTGTGGGCGGTACATTTAGCTTTTTTTAACCTTTTGCTATGATCATTGTTTAAAGAATTGGTGACTTGGGACTTTGTAAATCAGACAGCTGAAAGGAGAGTGTTGATTTGTAGAGCAAGCGACTAATCACAGATTCTGCTTATTGTAAGTTGACTATAAAGGATTTTCTTGCTTCCTTATTCTTGCTATCTTTTGCTGTACTCCAAATAAATAATTCAAAACTATTTATTTAAGGTCTGTTTAATCTATTATTTCATCAAAATTTACAATGTTCCTTACCCTTTTCAATTCCTAGCATTATTAGGAACATTTTAAATTATGAAAAGAAATGTATCAAGCAATTTTTTCCTCCAACTGCTATTAGCCCTCGATTTAATGGTCTTCCAAGGGTCCCTTCTAAATACATAGTTACTTTAGTTGCATAGCATTCAAATAACTTGAGAATAATGATTTTTTTGCTTGGGAATAAGAACCATTTGTTATAGTTTATATAGTTGGAAGAAGAAAAACAACCAATTTAATGAACAGCCATAAGTATGTGTAGATTCATGCAAACAACCTAATTATGAACCACTTGAAGCCTTCCAGAATCAGCTGGGAGCCAAGTGACTCTGCAATACATTTAATTAATTAGCACAAACATGCACTGGCAAAATACTCTGCACTGTCACTATGATGTTGACTTTTACATGTCTAGCACCTATGAGTAAAACAGGCTTAAATTGTTTACTGTGCTGATTCCATCTAAGGACAGCCACACGCTGGGTCAAATCTTTTTACATTTTGTAATGGATTATCCTGAAAGAACATTAGTTCAATGGCACTGAAAATAGAGGTGTTTCAGAATGAGAAATGAGCAAATTCTGAGTCAAGTAGATTACTGCTAATTCAAGGATGGGTGGGATAGCACTTACTTTCAGCAATGTGGAAAAACCTTCTTTGTTTAAAAATAAGAAAGATAGGATGCTGCAGTGACCATTAGCAGTTTACCCTTATTCCTATGCTAACAAAGGTTCTAATTGCTGAAATGACTGCTGTTATCTAGGCCACCAGTTACCCTCTACTCACCTGGTGACTGCCTGATCTGCAGGGTGGGGCTTGGAACTCATTTTTGAGATCCAGCCATAACTGCTTGTTTGTTCCTAAATATTTTAATCAATCCACTCAAATAATTAATTTCCACTGGAAACAACAAATGTTTTTTTTACTTCCTGATACATCCTTTTATTATACATTTGGTAACACCTGATATGCCACTTCAATCTTAAACTTATTTCTTTCATGTTTTCCATGTAAGATTTTCATTTTAGAACCTTTACCATGCCAATATTACTGATGTCTTCTTTCTTACCTCTTAATAACTTTTCCTAGCAGACATGGAAATTAAAATGGTTCCTATCTGTTTCTTTATGGGTATTTATAGAATGTTGAATTAAAATTATATACACTCCATTAACACAATTTAATTTTACCTCAGTTCCTATTTAAATCTGAATTTCTATATTCTATCCTAATTTTTCCATTGCTTCTAAATTCATTGTTATATGGTTTCTCCTCAATACTGTATATTTGTTCAAGTTCTTCATATTATAAGGTATCATTCTATTAATTTTCAGTCTGTTTTCAGACCAAGCTTCAAAGTGTTTGTTTTAGGACAGATTCTGATAGTGTATTTGTGTGTGTGTGTGTGTGTGTGTGTGTGTGTGAGAGAGAGAGAGAGAGAGAGAGAGAGAGAAACACATACAGACACACAGACACACAGACATACAGAGAGATGACTACATTTTTCTGAGCATACAAACACATACCCCAAAACTTCTGTATATTTTTACATATCTTTTCATTTTTTAATCTACAATGTAGTGATGAATTTGTGGAATACTGTAGACAAATCTAGATCTGATTCTTGAAATTTGACTTAACACTTGTTTGTTATTTCTGTCAATTATATATCTTTCAAACAGTGATTGTATATCTTTGAAGTCCAAGTTTCACCAAAGTTTTTTAATTAACTACCATTAACTAAATACATATAGTGCAGTGCATTTCTACAGAGGTGAAAAAATAATAATTATGGGAGGGGTGCTAGATTATTAGGCTGCAACAATCAGTATATTTGTCTATAATTTTACCCAAATTAGCCTTGTGCATTCTGGTACCCTCTGCATATATTAAATCTTCTAAAATTCCCAACCACCTTGACCACATTTGAGATTTATAGGAAATGCAAGCTACAAATCCAGGTATCCCAAAAAATCAGATTAGGAAAGGGTGAATTAAACCATTTTCACCTTCTGGGACTTCTATTTTGATTTTTGTAACTTCTTGCTCTTTTATTGTTTCTGTTCAGGTAAACTGAAGAAATGATGCATACCCTGAAAATTGAGGCAAGATTGTTCAGCTTAAAGGGATTTTTCTGGCTTTGTCTCTTTGAGCTTTTGCATAGTAATTCAGGTAAGTCATTGTACATCTGTAAACATAGAAGAGCATCTCTTGATCTACTTTGCTTATTACCAATTAGAAATGCAATATACTTTTAGAAATAGCCTCAGCTTTACTTCACAGCAGTAATTCATTACCACTTAGTAATGAACATCTAAGAAATAGACACAGGAATCACTTCCAGAATCAGAAGGTTCCTATCTGAATTCCACCTTTGCTGTGAACTGCCTAATGAACAGGACCAGGCAATAAACTAACAACAGGCACCAGGTAAGCCAATCTCTTTCAGCTTCCACTTACAGCATAGGGATGGATTTTGGGGCCAGTTTCTTAAACAATATTTCATTTATGTGAGAAATGCAATGACTCAAAAAAAATCAGCCATAGTACAAGAGGTTTGAAAAAGAGGCACTGTAATATGATTCGCTTGTTGTTTATTACCAAAATAAAAGTCTTCAGTAAAAAAATGTTCTCAAATTATCATCATTCTGTCTTGGGCAAAGAATGATACAGTTGCAATAAGATACAGTTAAACTGATTTATTGGTCATACCTATTCACAAGATTCCAGTCAGCACTAAACTGATACTAAATAAGAGTTAATGAAATTCAAGAGGGGTTTGACTTGAAATAAAAAATAAAAACATAACAATTGCATTTCTCTCTTGACTCTGATCCAGGCTGTGCCTCTCCTTCTCCTACCCTTTCCTCTATAATGATTTTTTTTACCTAAAGAAAAAAGATAGAAGAAGCAATGAGAACATGCAGAAGGTTACAACTGATAGATAATGCCTGGAAGCATCACCACTACTAATTCTATCATTGAGATTCTTATTGTTATGTTGTAAGCTGCCCAGAGTCATTGGATACAAGATGGGCCCACCCCACCCACTTTAAAGCTATTCTCCTCAAATCACTTGTTAACAGCCATGTGGAAGCATCAGATTTTGTGGCAGAATAATCAAGAACCAGATTAAAAATAAAACTGCTTGTAAAGCCTTTGTATGGATGGATACAGTAGACTTTGGAATTCCCACCAGTTTCTTTTGGATTTATTCAAACAACTGACAAAATGTCAGTAATTACCTATTTTGTATTAGCTTGTGATGGTATTGAGCATCCTACCATAATACAATGTTATGGTTATTCAGCCCTTAAAGGGAAACCATAGAGCTAGAAAAGTTCTGTAGCTAAAAAGACCGAGTTTCAGACATTTCCCAGAAGAAAATTTAAAAGCGTTTGGTTTTGCAATCTAAAGACACATTCATGAGATAGAACATGATAGGAAACTAGCTATGCATGATAGGGAGAAAGAATTGAACAGATTTTTTTCAGTTCTTGTAACATGAAGGATGAAATGCCTCAAATGAACAAACTTATAAGAATAGAGAAATTACAAAAAGACAGAACATGAAGAGATTATTTAGAAAATATGTATCTTTCTTCTCATTAACTCAAAGATGTAAGAGTAGCAAACCTATGCAGATGGACCTTATAGAATTGTGCAAATCCCAATTCATTAAATAGTCTTAACGAATTAGTATCATTTACATCTCTTCATAGTTTCAAAATGGTTATATTTTGTCATTGTTTTTTCTTGGGATGAACTTTCAGAACTTCCTCCAGTAACTTCTTGAACAGATTAAATATTATAAAGATTAATGGTTTATAACTTCTGTACTTTGTAGCTGCAATCTAAATTATTTTCAATAATAATATCTCTGAAGTACCAATGTAATTAAACAATGTTATCATTACCTTAATTTCACCTAGTTGAGGAAGAAAGAAAATTGGATAGATTTGTTTTTGTTTTCAATATGAAAATAATTCTGTAATTTAAGCCTGCATAATTCTGAAAGAAATAGTGATTCAAAAGGTCTCTTCCCATTCTAATATTTTATAAATATTATCAATTGTAATTTAATATTGTCACATAATTGTTAGTGTGTAACTCAGATTATCTTTATGGACTATGATGGGGAAGTAAAAACAAAATGAAAAAAAGAGAAAAAATATTCATCAAAGAAATAAAAATTAATCAGTAATTAAATTATGCACATAATCAGTTTTGTTAAAGCCATATTGAGTAATAATTAGTATCATAAAAATTGTATTGAAAACAAAATAATATAATGCATAAAAGCTTTTTCAACTTATTTTTAAATAAATCTTTACAACTCTTCTGAAAAAATGCTAAATTCATATTTTAAAGAACCAGAAACACAGCTAAAATGTGCTGGCACATTAAGACAATGTGATGGCTCATCTACAATAATGTAGAAGAAAAGCAGAAGAGACATGCCAACTCTTTATTCACAAAGTCTTTCTATCCATGGAACGACTTGGGAAAAAAGCCATTTTCTCCTAAGTTTGACAGTTTGCCATTAACATATGTATCTTAATATCTATGATTAGTATAAACGGCATACAAACATGATGTACCTTGAAGCAACAGAAAAAGATCACTCACTGCTCATACAGGTTTTCTTTGTCCTGCTTTATTAGGCAGATTCTTCTTCTATTGCTACCAATGCTGGTCAGGAAATGGGCTCTGAGTCTGCGAGGGAGGGAGGAAGAGAGAAAGAGGGAGCGGGGAGAGAGAAAGAAGGAGAGGGAGAGGGAGAGAGAGAGAGAGAGAGAGATGATTGAAAGAACCAGATGCTACTTCCAACGAAAATAGAATGACCTTGGAAAACAGTGCCAAGGGAAGGTGGGCCCATGTGTGTAGCAGCCTAAATTGAACAACAGGAACTGGGTAGATCTCAATCCCTAATCACATTATCAACCATATTATTTTAGATCATGTCCACAGGAAAACCGGTTTCAGAAAAAGAGGGGTGACATTCCTTTAAAATCAACTAAAGATGACTTTAAGTTGCCGTGATTGAGTGAAGACATGTCACACAGTTACTGCACTATGGGTCATGTGGTATAGGGCAATGTGAGAATATGCCTTTATATCAAAGAAATTGAGAGAAGACTGACTAGATAATTCTCACTATGAAAAAAAAATGGTTCTACCTTTCATCTAATATTTTATTTATAGACCACTTTTTTTAACTAGTTCATAAAATGAACCAGGAGGAATCTCAGAGGAAAAATGAGTTGAACAATCAATTGCCATCATCCCCATTATCCGAAGTAGTCACCAAAAACTGTTTAATGATACAGTCAGCAAAGAATAGCAATTAACCTCTCATGGTAACAAAAACATTGCAGCAACTCTTGTTGTTTTCCTTCCAACATAGGGATTCTCCCATGCTACGATTTATCTCCGTATAGGCTTCCTTCAGTTTCTTACAAAATTCCCCATTTCTGTCATATCAGACTAAAGTTACAAAGGGGCTCTTAAAAATAATATTTAATGTATATTATAGAACTTTCTATAGCATTTTGACAGTGTTTTATATTGATTCATTCATTACTCAGTTATTAAAATATTCCAAAACTATCTCACTTGAGGGGGAAAAATACATAGTTATCAAATCAAGTTGTTATATAAGTGAAAAAATTCTCACAGAAAGTCTGGCATGTCAACATATTTAAATTCATTGCTCAGGATCATTAGGGAATTAATTAACAGTACTCTGAAATGTCTCATCTAAGACATGTAGAGTTGTTTTGAATTTTTGATAAGATTGATCAATAAGAAAAACTTTTTGGAAATTCTACAACAGAGCCAAAAATTTACATAAAATCCTAAGTGGATGATAACATAGGAACTAATCCAGCAAATTGTTATGTAAAAGTTAGATGATCCCCAATGAAAAGTGAAAGAACTTACAAATGAAATTGTTCAGAAAGAACAGAAACTCTGGAAAAGCAAATAAACTTAACAAGAGGACAAGCAAAAAAAAAAAAAGGGAAAACCCAGATAGCTTTAAAAAAAGAAAATATAAACAAAAAATACTTGATTTGATAGATCAAAAGCAAACACTCCACCAGGCAAATAGTTTGATGACATATGTATTTATTACTTTATTTAAAATATTTATATGCCATTTCTTATTAAAAAAACAAGTAATTTATACAGCAATTGCCATTATAATTTTTGAAAGTACATTATGAAAGTACATTAAAATGTCACATAAATTATATAGAATAAAATAAGGAATAAGCAATATTAAACACAACAGAAGGTTAAAGAACCCCAACATCTTTATGACTAAAAAGCCTAATGGGAATATTTGCATAACACCCAAAAGACAGAATAGATAAAATCCATCACACCTTCCTGGTGTGATCCTAATCCTCAAGTTAGAGGATGCTGCCACTCCAAATGCTAACATTTAAATAGCACTCATTATACACCTCTGAAAGAAGGCTGGAATGTGGGAAGAAGCATTGCTTTAGATGTCACAATTCTAGGCTTGAAAGCTTATCTAGATTAAATGCAACATCTTGAAACTGGGTCCAGAAAAAATTGGGTGCCAGTCAGGGTTGAGATTCTATTGGTTCGGCCGAACTAGTAACTTCGAGGATCATCTGTGAATGAACTGGTTTCCTCCAATGATCAGCTGTTGGGCCCACCCACCTGCCCCAGCTGTATTCTGACCTTTACTTCCTGGTTTTTAAACTCAGCTGCTTCTAGCATTGCAGTGGATTAGCACGTATCAGCTGTTTAACACACAGGAAGATTGCAGGAGAAGGTCAGTAGCAAGCCATGCTCACCGAACCGGTTGTTACACCAGTTGAATCACATCCCTGATGCCAGTGAACATTAAAACCAGTTCAATGTAGAGGTTACTAAGAACTCTGAGACCATAAATTCCAGTCCTGTTATAGGCACAAAGCCAATCATTCTCTCTCAGCCCTAGGAAGCAAACAATGGCAAACTACTTCCAAAAGCTTGCCAAGAAAACTGCAAGGGCTTGTCCAAGCAATTACCAGGAGTCAAACTAACTCAGAAGCATAGACACCCCCAACAGTATAAAGAATGTTGGTATGATATGCTCTTGCCCTACCATTTATTCATTATTTATTACATTTCTATGAAACTCCATAGCATAAAGT